TGGGACCCCGGTGTAGCGCCTACGGCGAGGCGGGGTCACTCATAAGTACCTCCGAGTGGGGGGGGGGGGGGGGGGGGGGGGAGCAAACTGTCTTTCTAAAACAGGTACCGTGAAAGACCCCATACATGTCTTTATTGCTTGTGGTGGAAGTGAAGATCACGTCCGTGGTGTCTTCGCCCGTGGACACCTACCATACATGCCTTTATTGGGCGTGGTGGGAAGGCCCATGATGAATTAAGTCTTAAATGCATACAACTGAAAGGGTAGATGCATATGATGCAACGTATGATGTCCCTTCCAATGGTGATGATCAATCAACATATGAAGAATATGGTTTTCCACAAATGTTGAAGGTCTTCAAGAATGCAAATACCAACATACAATGTGTTGTTTATCAATAGGCATGACAGACCGATAACACATGCAAGCAAAAAATCAAATGAAAATGTAATCTAATAACAAAAAGTCATTTGTGATATGCAAGCATTAATTGACATTCATGGGTTCTCAATTAATATCAAATGGAGAATTCATATAGAGAAGCATAACACAAGTCACTAAGCAATGGATTGGACCTCCGAATAATAGATGCACAATCGTAGAGGAACGATCATATTCACCCAAATGAAAATTATCACATGAACAAGGAGTGGTGAAATTGATGTGGCTCAAGTCATTCAATCAAAGTGGTGTGCTTGCAATGACTAAATGAGGAACATGAAAATATGCCTACAACTAGTAGTGTAATGTTTTCCTACAAATATTTCAAAGCCTTCTTGCCAAGTAAGATTTAAATATCAACGGATAATGATTGTTGATAAGCCACTTTCAAGGACAATAAATCTATAACACATGTAATAAGTCATGCATGAATGAAGATTCAAAGTTGATTTGAGAATCATAAGATGATTATAAGTTTCATACAGACGATGTCACATGGCTCTAAGTAAACACACTACAATTCTTTGCAAATATCAAGAGCTAACGTACAAGAGATATATCAACCCCTGCAATCAGTGATAATAAACATGTTGCATAAGTAATGGGTCATTTGAACATAGATATACCCACAACAGGTTATCTATGAAAAGATGCAAAAGTTCCCACAAGCAAAAGAGATCAATATATGGCAAATACAAATATCTACAAATTGCAATAGAGAACCTATCATATCCACAAAATACTATCCTCGAGCAAATATAGAAGAGCCTCAACAAGTGCAAGTTCCTATGATTCAAAGCAGGAGATTCGTTAGTGCACTACGATCCACATACAGAAAGCAACATGTAGTGTATGACAATCTACATGTACCAAGCAGCAAACAACTCAATCCATAAGCTGCTACGCCACGCCACCGGATCCGCAACATCGATGCAAGAGGACATAAGGCGTTTATAAATATTCCAAGAATATCCTCACACGTGCACCTTAACTTGTATGCACATAGGTACACTAAAGGGGTAAATACAATAAAAAACTAGCATGGGCCCCAGCGAGCATGTTATTGGTACACACGTGACGTTTAGGGATGTTGCGCGAGTCAATAAATTTGAACTCGATCCTCCTAAGCAAGTAAATAGGAGTCGAAAAGATTCAACTAACAACTATAAAATACCCCAAATACACGCATGGGTCTCGATAAGCGTGTTATTGGTATACAAGTGACGTCTAAGGATGCTGCGCGGGTCAATAAGTGAATTTAAATTCGAACCCGATCCTTCTATACGGATCAATAGGACTTGACAGGGTTCGAACCATTAAACAAATATAAGGTTGTGGTGACCGGTATATTTATTTTAATATATTCATATTAGGCCTTCAAGGCTTATAACAGTATTAATTCACTAATAAAGATAGAATGCCTAAAAAGCCCGATCCCATATCGACAAGTTGATAGGGTCGACAATATTTAATCAATGAATGATCCACACTCCGATGATGGCCATGTATAATGTTTATCGCAACTGGAGAGGTTTCTTCCAAACATTTCAAATGCCACCCAAATACCCATGAAATTCAAAGCTCCCAAAAATTCAAACTCTACAAATCCCAAAATACAAATATTTAAAATTGAAATCTAACTATCAAACCACTCAAAGCAAAATCCATCCACCCTCCCGCAACAGTTTGCCGAGGTGGACAAATTAAAATTTACTTCAGCTCACAAAAAGCTAATGTATAGTCAAAAAATATCACTAGGATCCATTCTCAAACAATCTCCTGCTAGTAAGGATGTGGTACGTGTCCTCTAACCGTCTATTTTTCTGCCAAATGACATCGCAGGATAAACAGTTATGACCCAAGGCCCTCTGAACCGAGTGGTTTTGCTGCCAAATGGCACCACAAAATATTGGTTAGGGCCAGAGCCAATAAGCTCCTTAGTGGTATCAAATCCTTGAAATATGAATCAATAAGATATGATCGATAGGGCACAAAGCCCTTTGTCAGCTAAGGTGGATTCAAATTTGTCCCCTTAGGCAAACATTCACCCTAGGTCTACATGGTCCCCTTGGACGAAGCAACCCATGGCTGCCGACAATGATCCTTCTCTCAGGTTGGATTGACTACCTCCTCTGACTAAGTAGACCAGGGACCACGATGGCCCGGGACGATGGAACCATGAGATCTTGATCGGGTCCATCATCAATTCCCCCCACCATCCGCTTTAAGTATGAGATGGTGAAATTTTTTATTTTTAAATATCAAGCTTCCCAAATATTTCAACCAAAATTTCCCAAATTCAAACCCATGCTGCTACTATATGCTAGATAACACGTATTCTATACGTATCTGATTGACGATTAGCCTTAATCAAAAGTTCTCTCTCGTTATCGAGAGGGTAATTAAATATAGGGGCTTGCACCTATAAGAAACCAGAACTCAAATCATAAAGGCCTCACAAAATGAGGGCAAAATCTCTGGGTAGTGTCTTATCTATAAATCCATATGCCTTCCAAAATTTATCCAGGAACTTATTCTGTTAAAACTCCCTCGCCGAAGAAAAGCAAAAGCTGGCGGAGGCCGGGGCTGAATTTTCGGAGCCCATGCCTAAATCTAACGATTTGAGAATACTGCACTAGTCAAATATTCAAGTTTCATCTTCTTTGAAAGAACTGGAGTTGACACAACTTGAATTTAACATGTAAATCACAAAAAGTAATTTGTCAAGAACCCAATAATGATTGTGTTGAAAGCTAATCTCAACCGGAAGTGACCTCAAACTTTTAAAATACCATCAAAATTCCAAAACAAATATAAGTGACTTTGACGTCACCTCAATGATCATCATGTTGAATGTAAACCACAACCAAAGGGGAATCTATCTTTCAAAATGTAAGAGAAGAACAATACAAAATAAATAAATTGAAAAAGACTTCAACGTCACCTCGATGATAGCTGTATTGATAGAAAATCTCAATCAGAGGGGACCACAAACATGTAAAATGCCTCCCAAATGCCCATAAAAAATTCAAAATTATAGAAATCACTCAAAATCAAGATATTTAAAATGAAATAAATAATTAAATACTTAAAACAAAACTTATCCACCTTCCACAATAATTTGTCGAGGTGAAAAAAAATCTAAAAATTATTTCAGCTCATAAAGAGCAAATGTTTGGTCAAAAATATCGTAGGCTTCATGCTCAAAGCATCTCTTGCTAGTAAGGTCATGACACGTGTCCTCTAAGCGGTGGTTTCATTGCCAAATAGAACCATAGATAAACGATTAGGACCAGGACCCTCTGAACAGGGTGGTTTCTCCGTTAAATGACACCACTAAATTACGATCATCGTCAAAGCCCGCATGTTCCCAATGACGTCAAATCTTTGAGATATGAATCAATAAGATATAATTGATAGGGAATAAAGCCCTTTGTTAGCTAAGGTGACTTCAAATTTTTCCCAATAGACAAATATTCACCATAGGTATACAAGGTACTCTTGTACGAAGCAACATATGGCTGCCAATAAGGATCCATATGTTAGGTTGGGTCGACTACCTCCTTTGACTAAATTGACCAGGTATCATGATGGCTCGAGTTGACAGAACCATGTGATCTTGATCGGGTTCATCATCACTTCCCCCGCTATCCTCTAAATGCAAGATAGTGAAATTTCCAATTATAAATATTAATTCTAAAAAATTAAACACATGCTGATACTATACACCAGATACTACGTAACTATACATATCTGTTTGACGACTAGCCTTAATCAAAAGTTCTCTCTCATTATCGAGAGGAATAATTAACTATAGAGGCTTGCGCCTATAGGAAACTAGAACTCATATCATGAAGTCATCGCAAAATGAGGGTGAAATCTCTAGGTAGTGTCTTATTCCAAAATCCAATATTCCTTCTAAAAATTTGTCCAGAAACCTACTCATTTAAACTCTCCTCGACGGCCTGAAAGAAAGAAAGCGGTAACAGAGAGGCCGGTGCGCGAATTTTTGGAGCCCTCAAACCCCAATTAAGCTTCGTAGCCCGCCCCCCAGTCATCAACTATATTTCCTCCATAACCTAAAATGCAAACGCTATTGTAGTCAGCCTCAACCTCCATAATACTAGTAGCCCTTGGGTTTACCCTCTCCTCAAATACACAAGCCATTCCAACCCCCTCCACTAACATCCATACTTCATCCACATAATACCTAACCCTGATTCTCCTTCACCCACTCTCGGTCAAGCCTTCCAAGAGCAATTCCTAAGCCCTATCCTACTCAAAACCACACAAAGGCATTTTTCACAATCTTCCACCAATCACTCACCCAACAAAAGTTCCCACACCACCTCATTTGGCTAGCCCACATCCACTCCACTCCAAAGGCTCCCTCTCATACCACCAACAACCATCAACATCCTGCTACCACCCCTACATCACAAGGAAGTGCAACCTTGATTTATAAAAACATTATTCTTGATCATATAATATAAAATAAACAAGAAAATACTAGCAATTGCAACAAATTGCATTTTTGATAAATCTTCACTAAGCTATAATTTGTAGTATCTCAAGTGCATGCTCTTAAGCAGAATAATAGACAATATCAACTGATCAATATTCTAGGATACAGCATAGCAAAGCAATGATCATTTGACACACATTTAAAAAAAAATAAAAACGAAAAACAAAAAAGCATAGGCCACCTCATATAGGCCAGGGAAATGGCAGACCATCTGCCTAAACAAATTGCTATTCTCTCTACACCTTAAATTATTGTGTACATCTTATTATATTAAAAACACAAGCTGCGTATTGATGCAAGAAACACCATCAATGAATTTAACTTGACTAGTGGCCAAACATTGGATTAAATGACAAAGCTTCAATGTAAATTAACTGTTTCATGTGTTCTTCAGTCAATGCCTGCTGTTCGAAATCAAAGGAGAAAGGTTCCATGCAAACAGGTTCATCATCAACATCATGTAATCTTTCCAAGTATGGATGTGCAAGAGCTTCATCAACTGCAGCAGAAGTAGGGAAAGAGAGATTAATTATCAATCATAAAACAACTTTTCGATATCAAATTACTCGACTAATGATGTTTTAAGCAGCTGCATTGCTCATTTCTCAAGCTTTCAGTCCTATAATAATTACAGAAAGTGCTTTCAAATTAATGAGAGATCAACCGAAAACTAAATCAGTAGTTATTCCTTAGCACATCTTCTCCCTCTCCTAATTCTCTTCTTTGTTTCCTCCAACACTTCCTATATAATAAGCTTACCATATTTTGCATCAAAGCCACAGTTCATAATTATATTGGCTTTAAAGGAATTAAACATTTAAACTGAATCAAATGATATCGGGCAAATCAATGTTACCTCAACTAGCCATATGCAAATTGTAGTACTTCAAACAATTAGAGCACTTGCAACTTACACAAATGGTTTAGAAGACCAAGGAAAAACAAATTTAGAAGTCTTCAATGGGGTTATGCAGGATCTAACTTGCAGAAACCTACTGTTTAGTTTAGTCTAGACTGCTCCAGAACCTTAGGCGCTTTGATCATTCCTAAATAAGTACTTAAAAATTAGACAGCATAGGCTACAGCATGCTAGATTAGTTTTCCAATTAAAACAAGTTTACCCCGCTTCAAGGATTTTCATATATGCCTGCGGAAAGAAACTAATTCCAAATTTATATCATTCAATAAACTGATCAAAACAGATTGCTAGTGGCCTCTCCTTTGGATCAGATGACTCTCATCGGACTCCCTTGGACGCTTAGGACCCCATTAGAAATCCCAATGGCTCAACCCTTATGTTCCCAGACCCATGGACTCTAGATCCATTCTGACCCAAGAAGCCCCTCACCCATTAGACCCATTAGCTTACGGGACCCTAGGCATGGACCTCCTATGCTAGCCTAGACACTATACTTGATCAATTAAGCACTCACCTAATGATTGGACACACCTAAATCCCAATCCTAGCTCACTTCAAACAAATCATGGAATAATAGATAGTCAGTGCAAGAAATGAACCAACCAACATAGTTAAGAAAGCACCTGTGAGTCTTCTTGAGGGATCGAATGTTAACATACGTTCCACAAGATCAATGGCGGCTGGACTGATATGGGGATATAGAGCAGTAAATGATTGTCGAGGGAGGACAGGGAGATGTCTAATATATGTTTTTGCATCTTCATTTCGAACAAATCCAAGCTCAGCATCATTAGGAGTACCAATAAGCTTAACAGGCAAGCAATCAATTCTTGTAAGAATCAATAATTGAAAGAAATGAAAAAAAAATACATTTATTTTTCTTCATTATTATTTTGAATTATCCTCACCTCGGTTATAAGGCGCATTTGGTGCATGTGATCTCGTCCTGGGAAAAGCGTCCTCCGGTTCATCAGCTCCATGAAAATGCAGCCGACTGACCAAATGTCAATGGCAGCGGTATAGTCGGTGGAGTTGAGAAGCAATTCTGGCGCTCTGTACCATCTTGTGACAACGTACTCTGTCATCATATCATTTTCCGAAGTGGGGCGTGCAAGACCAAAATCGCATATTTTAAGATCACAGTTTGCATTCACCAAGAGATTGCTTGGCTTTAAATCTCTATGGATGACATTGGCAGAATGAATGTATTTCAATCCACGAAGGATCTGATACAAAAAATACTGCAATGATGGCCATTAAGAAGCAACTCATCAGTTTAATGATGAAAACAAAATTCAAATGCAAGTTTTTATTTCACTTGTTAGACCATTACTTGGCAATGTTCTTCAGATAATTCTTGATTTGAACGAATAATCTGATGAAGGTCTGTATCCATAAGTTCTGTTGCAATATAAACATCATTGAATGCATCCCGAATTGGCGGTGGAATAACATCTCGTATTCCTATCACCTGTTTGATAATGCAGTAAAACTTAGTCACATAAGCAGGCAGAATTTGTCTCATAAGCGGTTATTATATTTACAATCAAACCCAAGATATCTAAGGAATTAAGACTGAATTCATGGCTGAAAAGGAATTCATATTTATGAAAGAAGAATCACTGACGCTAGGCAAGATTTAAATTTCAGATGAATTTAAATTTTGGACTCTATGAAGTTTTAATTTTGGCAGCTAAAGGACTTTGCTTTTGTTTTAATTTCATTTTTTATTTCATCTTTGTTTTTTCTAAATTAAACTATTTTAAATTTTATTTAATACATAGACGAAGTAAATAAAAATGATTCTCAATAAGTACTGCATAAATTATTTCACAATATGTAGTACTATTAATACGAATTGATATTTTTAATAAACTTTAACCCAATTAACAAGAGGTTATAATGAACTTAAAAAATGACTTATTTTTCAAAGTATGAGTGAAAATGGAAAACTTGAACAAGTGTTTTTAGCAAGGTTTAAAAAGGAAATTTCGCGAATTGAGACGTTTTATCATAACAAGGCAAGGCATACACCTCGAAGCGTAAGCCTCAAAACAGAAAAATTGAAGTACTAAAAAAATTATAATAACTCATAAAATGATAAAATATTAAGTAAATTATGAACATAATGACTTTAATGACTTGTTTGATGATAAATGTTACTGAAACACAAGATTCAAAATAATTACTAACAAAAATCAAACTTTTCTCCATCAACCTAATTTTAGCACGTCTAAGTGATGCCACGATACAATTCAATCGTATATATTAAAAAAAAGATCTTGATATGAAGGCAATTCAATCATATAAATTTAAAAAAAGTTATAGCAAATACGATTCAAATGAAAAAAAGATATATTCGTGGTGAAATTCATTAAAAATGAGTCATTGCAATTAAAGAGCCCTGGCAGTTAAATTTTTTGCATTTGTAAAGAAGAAAACTATGACAAATACAATTTATACCTCGGTGCTTGAAAACTATGAAAAAGAACTATCTGTGGTGACCAACTGATTACTTTGGGCTTGACCTAAAGTAGAATAAATAATATAATAAGATGAAATTGTTAAACTTTAACAAATACGAATCAAGATGATCTAACTTCAACATAAATGTCTTGTGTAAGAAATGAATGTCTTAAATTTCATAATTGCTTCTCACAAAGATGTCAAAGCCAACACAGGCTCGAAAGGGAAGATGGATCGTTACCATGTCACGAAGAACTCTTTGAAACGAAGCAAGGCCAAAGCAGTTGAGGCTGAAGTAGTCGAGGCCGAAGCAGACAAGGCTTAATTACTGCTGTGGGCTCCGAAAATTTGGCCCCAGCCTCCGCCATCTGATCCTTTTTTTTTCGGCAGGGAGTTTTAACGGAATTAAGTTCCGGGGTAAATTTTGGAAGGCAGATTGATTTGTAGATAAGACACTACCCAGAGATTTCGCCCTCATTTGTGAGGACTTTATGATATGAGTTCTGGTTTCCTATAGGCGCAAGCCCGTATAGTTAATTACCCCTCCCGATAACGAGTGAGAACTTTCGATTAAGTCTAGTCGTCAATCATATACATAGAATATACATGTTATCTGGCATATAGTAGCAGCATATATATATGGAATGGTCAGAGAATTTGGTAATTTTGATATTTAAAATAGAATTTTCACCATCTAGCACTTAAAGAAGATGGCGGGGTAATGGATGGACCCGATCAAGATCCCATGGTTCCGTCGTCCCGGGCCATCGTGGTCCCTGGTCTACTTAGTCAGAGGAGGTAGTCGACCCAACCTAACAGAAGGATCCTTGTCGGTAGCCATGGGTTGCTTCGTCCAAGAGAAACCTTGTAGACCTGGGGTGAATGTTTATCTAAGGGGACAAATTTAAATCCACCTTAGCTAACAAAGGGCTTTCTGCCCTATCGATTATATTCTATTGATTCATATCTCAAGGATTTGATGCCACTAAGGAACATATTGGCTCTGGCCATAACCGGTATTTTGTGGTGTAAATTGGCGGCAAAACCACTCGGTTCAGAGGGCCCCGGATTATAACCGTTTATCCTGCGGTGTCATTTGGCGGCAAAACCGCCGGTTAGAGGACATGTACCATGTCCTTAATGGCATAAGATTGTTTGAGAATGAATCTTAGTGATATTTTTGGCTAGGCATTAGCTCTATGTGAGCTGAAGAAAATTTTAATTTGTCCACCTCGGCAAACTATTGCGGAGGGTGGATGAATTTTGCTTTAAGTGATTTGATGGATGGATTTCAATTTTAAATATTTTTGGATTTGGATGAATTTTGGGATTTTAGAGTTTTGGATATTGCAGGCATTTGAAATATTTAGAATTAATCATTTCGGTTGAGATTTTTGTTCAACATGGCCATCATCGAGGTGTTTGGGGTTATTTCAACATTTTCATTGATTAGACCCTGTCAACCCCATCAATTTACCGATAAGGTATCAGGTTTCATAGGCTTTGTCTTTGTTAGTAAATTCTCATTGTTATAGGCCTTGAAGATCTAATATAAATGAATTAAAACAAATATATCAGTTACCACAATCGTATATTTGTTCAATGGTTCGAACCCTATCAACTCCTTAGATGTTACATGTGTACCCATAACACCCTCGCCGGGGCCCATGCGGGATTTATAATTACACTTTCCCTTTGTGTACCTAGGTGTATACAAGCTATGGTGCATGTGCAGGGGTATTTTGAAATATTTGTAAACGCCTTTTATCTGATTGCAAGGACATTGCGGATTCGATGGCGTGTTATAGCAGCTTCTGGATTGAGTTATTTGCTGCCTTGTACAGGTAGACTGTCGTGCATTACTCGTTGCTCTCTGCATGTGGATTGTTGTGCACTAACTAATCTCCTGCTTTACATCTGTTGATACTTGTAGATGATATGTTAGGTACACGACTACTTTCATCAGGAGCTTGCAAGCCTCAACAATCTTATCCAACTCGATATTCTGAACCTAATTGAACTGATTCATTCCATTTTTGCGATATGTGGAGGTATATGGGTTCTCTTATCATCTTCAATTTTCGTGGATATCAGGACAGTTTTCTCTCCAAGTATAACATAAAGAAAAAAATTTAGAACACCAGGAAGTTTAGTTCGAATTTGTTCAGACATCCCTCCCATTCTACCAAAAGGTGTCCTTCTGCATACATCGAATTGTCTTTATACCCGACGTACTTGCAAACCTTAATCACCGACATTGTAGGTGGTGTCTACACTTGTGTCGATAGTGATTCGTCGCACTTACGATATACCCACCATTGTTATCCACGAGTGGCTCGTGTTTATTTACAGTAGCCCGTTGTATTCACTACAACCTCCTGGAAATATTCGTAGAAGAGCAATTATTTTCGCATCATATCCACCTTTCACCAATCTCAGGTGGTTCGATGTATTTTCTTTCCCCTTGTGTTGTAGCAGATTGTATGTAAACTTTAACACTCATTGTATGCTTGTATATATGCTTACAAGGGGAGGATCATCAATTGTAGGCAAGCTCACTATGTTCATTCGTTTATGTGTTGATCTCCACTGCAAGGGGTTGTATTTTTCATCATCACCCTTTTACATGATGATTGACGGATCGTTGCACTTGTTTGCAATTTGAGATTGATTATGTGGGGGTTAGTACACCCGTTGCATGTTCCTTACTCATGTTTGTAGAGAGTTCATCGTATTTACAACTCATCGATGTTGCCTTTCTTTGGTGGACCAATGTACTTGCAAGTTGACTAGCTTTGATAGCAAGATCTTCGTATAGATGACTGTGTCAATGCTAATCATGAGGTGATAGTTGATATTCAACTAAATGATTCATAGCTTAAATTGACATTTGCATTTCCATGCTTGATCAAGCATTCAAAGTTTAGTTCTTTGCTATCTGTTCAGGTTTGAATCCGATTATAGCCTCTTGTAATGCATTTAAGTTCCTTGTGCAACTCAAGTTCTAGTCCAGATCTTTGTCATTTGATTCAGGTCTAGGACTTCTGTAAATGTGCTTGTTGTTTTGTTTAGTTCAAGTGTAAATGCTTATTCAAGCTCAGATTCATCAAGATTTGTGTTCATCAAGTTTACAAGTCCCACTTGATGTTGAATAGTTCGAGTTCAAGTTATGCCCACAATATAAGTTCTTGTTTAGAGTCTTCTGAAGTCTTTGCAAGTTCAATTGCATGTTCAATTTCATTTAAGTTTGGTTTTAGTTTATTTAAGTCCAAAAACAAGCCTCTTTATTATTCGTTTGAGTCCAAGTCCTCTACGCTTAGTTCAAATCAAGTTCCCTTGTGACCTTGTTCAAGTGTAAGTCGTTCAAGTTCAAGTTCACAAGTGCAAGATGAGTCCAAATTAGGTCCCTTGTAAGCCCAAATTTTGCACAAATCCCCCGTCTTCAGTATGAATTTCGGCAGCCTCCCAGCGTCTCCCAAGTTTATGTGAAAACCTGAGAGACTAGCCTTTCCCTCGTCGCTACTGAGCTCTTCAGGTAGGTATCTAATGGCACCGCGGCCGTATTTTCTTTAATCTCCGCCCGCTATATGAGTGTTTAAGGGTCTTGGCCACCTATTGAAAAACAGCACAGAGATTTCCCCATGTATGGTACTTAATTTTATCCCCCTCACACTACATGAGCGGTCCAGGGATTACCCACCTCATCGCAAACGTCGTGCCAGTTTCCCTCTCTACCACACTACGTGAGCACGTAGGGGGTTTGCCAGTTCGTTGCGAGCGTCAAAAGCGGGGTTTAAGTTAGAAATTTATACCTTGGGGAGCAGCGATAGAGGCTCGCGGTTCGAGGTAAGAGGGCACATAATATTTTTTTATTAATTATAATAATAATTAATTATTATAATTTATAATTAATCATTATATATTAATTAACTATAATTAGTAAATTAATTTTAATTATAATTAATTAATTACTAATTATAATTAATTATAATTAACCAAATAATT